TTTCTGGATTCCCCTTATTTTCAAAGATTTTGAGCGTGTGGTTATGTTTTGAACGCAAAACAAGCATTCTCCCTGCATGCGCAGAGATAATAAAGCAACACTTATTTATTGAACATTGAACTATATTAATTTGGCCTGCACATTATTTTGATCGTCTTCTTAAATCAAACTTTTGCCGCAGAAATAACCAAAAGAATATTTTTATTTATTGTTTGTTTATCGTTTTACGTTTTCTGTTGGCATTCGTTTTGCATTTAAAATTTAAAAAAAAAATGAATCCAGAAATATGTATATATGCTGAACACAAGCAAGAGGCGACGCTTTTTTTTTTTAGCAAATCGGAACGTTTAGCTTTTTTTCTATCTTTCACTGTGTTGGTGGTCTGTTACATAATGCCCTATTGCAAGCATATCATAACACAAAGGAAAATTTAAATAAAATTTTTGTTCTAGCATGGCGGGACAACAAGGATAGAAAGCACTTAATTAGACTGTACTTTAAACTTACAGTTATTCTTTCTTTGGCGTTTTTTTTTTCAGTGATCGGACGGATTTACCAAACAATCTGCCATGTTTAAAAGTACATCTAGCAATAAATAATTACTATTTCCTAGATGCTATAATTTAAATCAAACATCTTATTTATTTTGTTTGTAAAAAATGACTTTTATATTCTGCATGACTCCAATATTTGAATTAATTGATTAGCAGATATTAGTTGGTTACCTTCGTCATTATGACGGTTATCTTCCCATCTATACTCTGTTTCACCTTATGATGTACCACGAGCTCCTTGCCCTAGGGCACATCTTGGCGGCACAACCTCTCGTCCATTAAGAGCAACTGCCAACGCAGTGAGCTCACGCTTCTAGTCTTCGCTGTGGTACAACATAAGGTGAAACGGAGTATAATATCCGCCGAGCCAATGCATATATAGTATAGTGGGGCGGCCCCAGCGTGTGACAATCACTCCTTCTTTTTAAAAGGGTCTGTTCGAATTGAAATCAAACACTCTGTATATGTGTGTTGTTCTCATTATTCGATGATTGCGTTTTTATTTTTTCTATTTTTCGTAAGCTTTAGACGCCGTTACCAACTGCATGGGGGCCGGAACCTTCGTCAGATTGCCGTGGAACAGCTTCTTATCTCAGTACTCTGTTGTCAAGTGCCTTTTTCAACCATATGACAGAAAGTAAATCGATTTGATTTAGTGGAAAACCCCGAGACTGCGGCGCATCCAGCCGTTCCAATAGCGCAAAACCTGTTCGCACAAAGGACATTGGATTTCTAATGTACGATAAAGAAAGAGAGGAATTGAAGACAAACAGACAAGACAGGCTGTACGGACTGAGCTGTATTCCCTTAGTAAAGTATTTGATAGATGTTGCCTGAACTAGGAGAAGAGTCACAAAGCATCGACATCGCACATCCCTAATTGTGGACAGTATGGTGGCACATAATAAGCTATACGCGCTTTAATGCAACTACATATCAGGTATCTTGGCGCTTAAAATCATTTTTGCCAGTTATCTAAAATCGCAGGTAAAACAGTCCGTGACAGAGCAAAGCTATATATATTGCCCGCGTTTTCTGGCACCATAAATCCAAAGCTCTGGACATCGCTTTTTTTTAGTCGCATGCGATCGCCGATTACGCCCGCTCTGCACTAAAGATAAAACAAATGGCGGCGCCCATGAGAAAATTGAGGAAAGGCAGGCCGACACTCTAGGCGACTTGTTTAGTGGCTCTGATGGACACCTCCCTGAGTCCAGCAGTTCACACGAAGTTTTAAGTCACCGGAAATGGCGCCTCCGATCTCCTGTGACGGTAGGAGTTGGCTTTAAATATCGGAAATAAACTGAACCGATGGCCGCAGATGTCTTGCGAAGTGTCTCGCTTCGGGATATCGCAAAATTGAGCGGAGGATCGAAAATGAAGTCTGAGCTTGTGGCAAGATGGCGGAAACGAGCAACATCCGAGTTTGTCGCCTGTCGCAGCCAGCAGCCCGCGGCATTGCTACTAATTCCGGTCTCGTGCTCGAGAGCCCGACGTTTTTCTTTCCCGACGTTCTTCCTCCAAGAGACAGGTAATCTATAACGATACGCTGCGCCGCTGGAAGGTGTTTTTCGTGGCAGACGACCCGGGCCGGAAGTCGGTCGCAGACGTAAACGCGACGCGCACGCGAAGACTTCCGGTTCTTTCCGGGAGCCGAGTTATATTCCCGGGCCTTACCTGGCGTAAACTGTCGTCCTTATGCGTACGATTCCGACTGGAAGAGAGGTTTATCTCTAGTCACGCGTTGCCGGGGGTTAGGTCGAACAGGCCATCGGTTTGGCGCCCCCTTTTTGGGGTTTTATTTGCGGAGGGGATTGGGATCGCGCTGCTGGTCTCTCAAGTCGACGCTTTTTTTCCTGAGCTTCAAGAGATATGTCCCTCGAACGAGCTTATAAGCAAACAAAAATCAAAAGGAAGGGAAAAAAAAAAAAAAAAAAAAAAAACCTCGAGCGCAGTGAACCGTTTGGTAAGACTATCGACGGTTAAAGTGTGCCACTCTTCTTTAAAAACATCAATTTTTTTCTTTTACCTTTTTTGGCGATAGGAATTCTTCAATATGGTAAGGATTTGTGTTTTACAACAGAGGAAACGTCACATCCTTGTGCACCAACGCGGGGCCGTCAGCACGCCGCGTGCAGAGACGATTCATCTGACGTGAATCTGGTTTCAGTGCGCCTGCACAGTGTTACGTTTGGTGTGGTCAAATACGCACGTGTTTGTGAACAGCGTGCTGATTCATAGACGCTGTGCGGCCGCTGTGCATGGGCGCCGCCATAACGGACCTTCAGTTTTGTTTCCTATTATTTTGATCGCTCTGCTCCATCACTACCACAGCAGGACAGGTTATTGACATTTTAGATCCGACTGTGTCCTTTTCCCCAGCATTGGCCTTTGTGGATGCCCGTCAAAGCCCGCTTCAGTGGCTCGATATCTCGGTGAAGACAAGAGAAGGTCAGCAATGGCGGCTGTAATCTGACGCGTGTGCAAATTAGCGTCCATAAACAAGCGTAAAGCTGAACTTAAAATAAAACGCCCGGCAAAGAGTTCTGTTTTTATATGTGTTCAGCTTCTAAATGTGTTCAGCTTATAAGTGAACAAAATAGGAATAAGCTAAAAATGAATATGTTATGTAGCCTTGTTATCGAGTATTCCGAAACATTTTCCGGTCATATATATGACGTGTGTAGACCTCCAGCAACGAAACATTTTCCGGTCATAGCTCGAGCTGTAACCATAATCTTCACTGGGACACACGTTGGGGTTTGCAGTATTCTAATATTTTGTCAAGAGATTCTCATGCTTTCTTGTTTGCGTACAGGTAAGAAGAAAACGAGTCCTCATATATCCTTGCTTACCCTGGGAGCCCCGATACGATTCTCCTGATGTCCTAAAGCCGCAGTCAGCCTGCTCATACACCGTACAAAGGACAAGGTGTTCGCAGCGGACATGATCACAAAGTTAGGGAGTTTCAGGGAACCGTTCTTGCACACCCGGTGCGGTACGATGGGCATTCAGGTACGAACTGCGCATGCGCGCTACCACAGAAGACTCCCTTGTGCGCTGTTCGTACCGGAGGGCCCGCCGTGCCGTATCAGATGTGCAGACACGGTTCTCTAAAACTCCTAAAAACGTGGTTCTCTAAATGCCGTTTTATGGAAAACGATCGGTTCGAGCTCCCGATCCGAGGTACCGTTCGTTTGGTCTATCAGCCGTGTTTTATTCTGGTTCCCTAAAACAATGTAGTGTATATTGTCACGGATGACAAGTGACGAGGCGGCGAAGGACTGAGTAAACGGAACGTTTAATGGGGCGAACTTGTGCCCAAAAATAAAAAGGGAAAGAAAGATAACAACAGAGCGTCGTGGGCGTCGAAGGCGGCGAAGCAGCTATAGATCGAACGCTGAGGCGAAACTGACCGTGGCTCGCCACGCGGAGCCCCTTATGTACATGCGTGGTCTTCTGGAATAATCGGCGTAGAAAGTTCGACGCGTAGAACATTCGGACCTCGAAGAAGCAACAGGATTCTCGAATTTATCAGAATACTAGTCTGCAGGAATAAACAAAAAGATGCGCCGCTCCCAGGAATTGAGCCCTGGCTTTTCGCGTGGGAGCCTGGTACGATAACCGTTAGGTCACGCGCGTGCTGCCAGCAGCGCGACCATGGCTTAACGTTCCACAGTGTCCTGTGGAACTCTTTTAGACATTCCTGCCGCTAGAACGCATAAAGTTTGGGCCGAGGTTCGTGATGTTAACGTATTACGTACAAAATGACAATTAAGTCATGTGCCGCACCGATTGAGGCCCCCAGGCGGACTTTTACAACTACATTATTCCTCATTTTGAGGCTAAAAATGTATGTTTGTTTATATACGTTTATTGGCTTAGCCCGACGCTCGAAAACGCGCCGCCGCACCAAAAAAATATACCTTTTTTTTTTTTTTAAAGAAGGAGCATATGTTGCGGACGAGGCAGGAGAGGTAGCGCAGCTCTCGTTCCGGACGCCAAACGTAGTTTGCGTTGTTGCCGCTTGCGGTCGTCTGTATAGGTGAAAAATGTCAATGGAATGAATTCCAGACAAAGAACACAGCGACAGCAATGCCATTTTGTTTCTTCAGACTCGCAACTTCACAGCCTCTAGTAGGAATCTGGTCTCGGCCATTCCCCCTTTTCAGCATCAGTAATCACTTCAGAGTGATGCACTTTAACATACCAAATTAACCAGCAATCGCGCTGCTGCACTGTCTACATTGCCCATCTACAGCGGAGGTACCAAACACCATATTAAGGCAAACTAGGTAACTTCCCGTTCTCTAAACCTCCGTACAGTTAATCTGACTTTTTGTTTTGCTATGTGCTCCTGTTAGCAGATGTGCTGCGAGAAGTGAGCACTAGACAGCGCCATCTGCACCCGATGCGCAATGGTGGGTGGTGCGGTTCCTGGCGCAGGAAACATGCGGTCTATGGACGAGGTCCAGGTGCGGGCTCTGCACGCCCTGCTCAAGAGGAAGCTGGAGAAGGCCAGGGAGCTGATACGGAAGGACTTGGACCCTTTCCGGGCCGGAGCCTTAGGAATCCTGATCCAGGAGCCGGGAGCCTACGTCAACGTGTCCCTCACCAAGGTAACTGAGTCGTACTAGACCACCACATCTTCAACCTGTTTCTTTCACTCGTGTGCTGAGGACACCAGACAAGAAGCTACCAGAAGCTTGCTTGACTGCAGTCAAGCTCAGGTAGCTTCTTGTCCTAATCATGACCCATGGGCCATGATGAGGGTTTTGTGTTTTCGGGGTTTAGTTTTTAATGCGTTAGCATTAGTGCCCTGGTACAAGCGCTGACCTCTGACGGGTTTCGACTAACCAAAGTTCGCAACGTCGCCACGGGATGGCGCCACGGCTGCACCGGCTGTGGCAACTGGCCAGGAAGCAACTTCTGCAAGAACCGAGAGATGGCGGGAGGGTTGCGGGTGCGCGCTTTGGACGTCCTCGGAAGCTCCTGCCGTCGGCTTTGGACACCTGTGGGCGTACACGGGCTGCGGTTCCGTTCTTCGATCCAACGGATGTCTGTCAGCCAAACTTATGTAGGACAGCATGCAATGCCGCTCGTCGTGATGGGAAACTTCAGCGTTAACGTTAGAAGCTGACACAACCAGTGGCTGCTAGAGCACATGCTGTCTCAGTGCGGACTAACGTTGTGCACAAACGCTAACGAAGCCACATCGCACAACGGTACCACTATAGACGCTTTAAAAACGCGCCAAATTGAGCCGCCATAGCCGACCTTCTCTTGTTCTACCGAAATGCCGAGCCACTGAAGCGGGCGTTAATGAGCCTCCACAGGGGCCGATGCTGGGGAGAAGGACGCAGTAGCTTCTAAAGTGGCGATAACCTGTCCTGCTGTGGCAATGATGAAGTGAAGCGAACGGAATAACAGGAAACAAAAACTGAACGTCGGTTATGGCGGCTCCTATGCACAGCTTCCCGAAAGCGTCTATAGATTTGATCTTCCCCAGTCGCCACGTACATAACATTCAAACGGCGGCATATGTCTCATACTTCACGTTGCACAGGCCGCTCATGTGCATGATCTGTCCGCCGCAGGATAAAACGCACGTTGGGGGTGAATAAATGCGCACAACGAAATGGCTCTGTCATTTTCCGCGGATCGCGCTCACGTCCTTCATGTACACGCTTAGTGAACTGATTTCTTGCACCAGGGAGAGGAGGGGTTTCGGGAACGTTCAACCCGCGGAAGAGTGTTGAGAGGCTGCATTGACCATGCTTAGTTATATGTAATCGCTGCGCGAAATGCTAGCGCATTTCTTTGAGAATCGACGTAGCGGCAGCAGCGATTTCGGTCCATTTTTTTTCCCCATAGAGTCGGTGATTCTCGACGGTCGGACAAGAAATCGGTGTTTGTCGGGTCTTAAACAACACGACAGGGGCGTTGAATTTCTCAACCTCCAGAGAACTGGTGCGTGATCTGAATACCTGAGAAACGTCCCAATATCAAAAAAAAAGAAAAAAAGATGAGGGTCTGGTTCTGGAAGAAAGAAGCCTCGCTGACAGTTCAGTGCGGCTGTGTTCAAAGTAAACACAAAATAAGCTTGTAGTTGAACAATTCTTTTTTCTTCTTCTGGTATCTTGAGTTTTTCTTTGAAAGACAGCCCAATTATTTTTTCTTTCCTTTTCCCCTTTTTCGCGGTTTCTTTCGATTTTGGAAAATACCCGGCATGGGCGTTTTAATTTTCGGGGTTTATCGATGTATACCGACTGATGAACAGGATGCTCCTAGTGCACCTAGATTTCAGAACGTTTCCAACTGCTCGATCGGGGTCCGTGGGTCACGTTCGCAATGCAAGCTGCGAGGGGCGGGCGAAAGCGTCGACTGTCTGCGACTGCCTCGAAGCTTTGCTTAGCCTCTTTGCCCACCATCTTACCTCGCCACACGGCCACCTTACGCATGCGCACGAGCAACAAATCTGCGCAAGGCCATTAAATTGCAAACGCTCTCCGTGGTTTGAGGTTGCACCCTCTCTTAAAATTTAGGTCCTATGGGGAGCGCAAGTTCATCTGCTTCTTGCACAGGGGTTGCGATGATGTCAGAACGCCGAGCTCTTATTGGCTGATTGACAAAGAAATAGTAGGTAAACGTACTTCAATGCATCTAGCTTTGAGGTCTACCCACTATCTTTCCGATTAAAGCCAATCAGAACTCGGCGTCGTTATGACGTCACCGAAGTCCTGCACAGGAAGCAGACGACTTGCACTCGTGTCATAGGCGACTCTAGAGCGTGCGATGCCACCCAGCAGAGATGACGCGACGGAAAGAAACGGGAAGCTGACGCATGACCACATGCGCAGCAATAACGGGCTGCTTGGCAATCGAAGTGTGGAATAGACGATCTATAACTTCGTTTCAGCTTAAGTCCAGACGCAGCCGACGTTACGAGGTAATGGGGCCACTCAAGCAGCGTCAAAAGTGCAGGTCACGAGGCCTTTTTACAGCCAAGCTGTTAGGTGCTAGGATCTGGAAGAATATGCGTCCATGGATGTTAACAAAAAACTCCCGTTTAAACGGCGCTCCTTCGTTCCGATTGGTCGTGGCAAGTATAAATAAAAGGAGAGGGCGACCCGCGTGAGTCAGCCTAATTTGGCATTATTAGATAATGAGGTCCTGATCCCTCGTGGTCATCTACGGTCACCGACTTATCTCAGCTGAGAGTGCGCTGTGACGAGGCTGGGGGCAGAACGCGACGATCTAACTTTTCTTTCGCTTCCGCGATGCTGATAAAGAGACTCGGGCTCAATCAGAAAAAAACTGCCCTCGAGGTGTACCTCGAAAAATTGGGGTTAGAACTTACAACGTCGTGTATTGAAAGAGGTCATCACCTTTATGGTATGTATGTGTCTATATCAATATAGCAATTCGCTGTAACGTCGCTGTAAAACCTAAAATTGCTATCAACCAATGGCTGTGTTCCTTTGTCTCTTGACGTAGCCATTTCCTATAGCGACGTTATCAGTTGCCCTTTGGACTCGCCATGCATGGGCAGGCCGCGTGTTGCTCGTTCTGAAGAGGGAGAGCGCGCCTGCGGGGATCGTTAGCACGCTCAACAGCGCGAATGTGTGCGAAAACGTCGAGAAGCCGAACACGCAGCGGCCCATCGTGGTGCGGCCGATGGTGTGGGTCCTTAGGTTTCGTTTGATTGATCCTCCACTCACCTCCGAAGAACGTGCCCGTCTAGAGCGTCAGCGGCAACAGAAGCGGGAGTGTGAACATCGTCACCGGGTGAAAATGACCGACGAAGATCGGGCCGCCGATGCCAAGCGGAAACGCATTGCCCGTCAGAATCTTCAGTATCGGGAGGCCGAAAACGTCTGTCGGCTTGGATACAACTCAGACGAGCGCTTTCCCGGAGCTGCGGCAAGATTTCAACGAGAGTTTGTCGGAACCCCGTTTGGTCGGTTACCCGTGTGGTGTTTGCGATCGCCTGTGGTTCGCCGGACACCTATCCACCATCTCCGGCTTGCGTTACGATGTTCAGCGTGAATGCGCCGCCACGGTCCTGCGGCAGTGAGTGCCAACTGAAAGCGTGGAGCGAGTGCCCGTATACGGGGAACGTGTCGAGAGTCTTTGCTCAAAGGTGTTGTGCTCCGGTTCGCTTGCGTTAACGATTGCGTGCCGGAGCATCTCTTCAGCCCCTTCCTCCCCCCCCCCCCCCCCCCCAAAAAAAAAAAAAAAAAAATTGACGCCGCATCGTTTGACATGCCCCCTACCGTGTCGGATTGTGCTGATGTTTGCGCCGTCAGGCTACATGGTGGCACAGTCTTTGCTATGGTGTATACATTCATCCGGCGACACCGAATCGAGAGAAACGTTTGTGACCGACGTCTTTGGTTGGGCTGCGTTCGATAACGACGCGCCAATCGTCGTGGTGGGAGACTTTAATATCGATATCGGTAGACCCGAGGGAAGGATGATAACATCGTTCATGTTGGAACGAGCGGATGTGCGAACGACCAACAACAGAGCGTGTATCGACCTCACGTTTAGCAAGAACGTATCCGAAGTCAATTGATACAACCAATGGCGGTTTACTTATAGTGACCATAAGGCAATGATCACTTTAGTCGCTAAGAACTAAATAGAGAAAATTAAACAACGAAGTCGGGTACGTGCCTTCATTGCAATCACGTGTAAATTGCATAGATGTCGGAAAGTTGTCGGAAAGATAACGGCTTCGCTGGTCCTTCATCTTCACGTGAAGTGGATGGTCTCTACAATTTTTTGTTTTGTTTGTTTATGATTGGTTCAGCGATGATAAATCACGTAAAGAAATATGTGCGTTTTTAACGCTGTTTGATTTGTCAGCAGCTCGTAGCGTCGGTTGTGTTTGGACTAAAGGCTGAACTCACTTAAGCGAAAATGCGTCGAAAAGTTCACGAATTTCGCGCGGCGCGGCAGCCACTGTTTTGATTCCACGTGCAAAGTGAAAGCCGCCGGGCGAAATTCGTCGCTCTTTTCGCTACACTTCTTGCAGACTTTACAGGGGCCCCGCAACGACTTTTTTGCTGTGTTTTTAGCTTGCACCGGACCTGAGCGCACCGAACGTAGTAACTTAGTGATTTTTTTTTTTCCTTTCTCGAAATTCGTTTTATTTTAAAAGTTATAGGCATAATAAAATTACAAAAACAAGCAAAAAAATAGGGGGAGGGGAAGACGGAGAAAGGAGGTGCGGCCGAGGTGAGAGAGCTGCCCGGGAACGGGGCAGCTTTCTCTCTAATAGGCTGACCAGAACCAACAACGTCACGATTTCGTCACATGCCGCGCGCGTTCGACACCACGGGGGGCCCCCGTAGGAGGACGAGGTTTCCGCGTCGTCCGGTTAAAATATGACGCACTGATATTTAGTTACTCTCTCCGTGCCCGCTGGGTTCCCTGAACCACAAGAGACGCGGAAACCGCAAAAAGATAGACGCTTAAGTAGGATTGCAGGGCCACTTTAAGGTGAAGCGAAGTATAGAGTAAAGTGCTCCAAATCGGGTCTGCGAAAAGGTTATCAGATCATTGCAATACTCCCTTCTGCATGGAGCCATGTTTGTTTACTGGGCTCTGGATTGTGTTCCAGGCATATGCGAAATATTGCGTACGCCCACCTGCGTCCACAACCCGAGTGACTGCAGGCATCACTATTCGCCTTGGTGATAGGCACTGTAAGCGTCGATACTATACTCCGTTCACCCCTAGCCTGACAATGAGGTGGAAGACATGTGCTCGTTAAACAAGTCATACGTCTATTTTAAATGTGATATCATTTTAAATGGGCAAGTGTGTAGCCTCCACCTCAGTCTCAGCCCAGGGATGACCGGAGTACAAGATATGCTTTCAAATGTACGTTTTTAGCTTTAACACACCATTTCGTCTGGAACAGTCATTATATTGCCTATGGAGGATTGAAACTTACACTACAAACGGATCAGGCCACCAAGTTTACGCGAACAGATATGAATTTTATGAAATGGACTTGGGCTCTCGAGGAAAGAAAAAGGTTTTTCTTCGTGGTATAGTGGCAAACTCTATGTGATGGAAAATACGCTTCCACGGCTCATCGATGTCCAGTTAAACAGAAAACTATATATGAATGCAAGATTATACAACCAGCTCAAGGTACAAACCTTGATGGCCACTTTGTTTCGCGCTATAGTCGGTGACAGGTTCAGAGTAAAGTGCAAGCTGCTAAAGCGAAAAGAGGTGGGAGAAGCTTCCCCTAAACCCTTAACCTGTCACCGAGTATAGCGTTCCCTGAATGACTCCCCGTGTAGGGAACGCAAACGTGTATCATGTTTCTTAAACGTACGGCCAAACATAAACCTCACGAGGTAGTTAAATGCTTGACCCTTCTTGTAAAACTCCGATCGGAAATTACTGAGTTACTCATAGTACCAGCAACTCTCGCCCTGACTTTATTGAAAGCGAGCGCTACCTGCACACTACACGGGATTGCCGTGTAGTGTGCAGGTGGCGGGGGATAATGCGCAGGACAGCCTCCGGCCAGAATATCCGAAGACTTCGCTTCTTTTATTTGCGACATACATCCATTCAAATCTGCATCGCAACAGCTAAACTGGACAAAAATGGGTTAGATCATTTCTTTTTTATCCAGTCGGTGCTAGTCAAAGAAGAAAGATTTTTCCTATAAGGCTGTATACAAGGTTCATATCTGGATCATATAAGACTAATATATTGACGCTTCAAAACCATCTATTCACCCGCGTTGCTTCGAAATACGGTGGTGTCTGGCTTTAGATATGAGCCCGTACTTTTAGAAGTGTGTGCCGTGCCAGTCTGAGATTTGAATAAGAACCAAACTCGTACGCCTTTCTGTATGTGGACCGACTTTTCGACGCCATTTCGACTTGCAGGTGGTCGTCAAGGGCCTGTCCGACTTCACAGTGCGGGATGTGGCGAGCAACAACGCAGCCATGCGGGCCAGTGTACTCCTCAGGCTACCCCGGGTCGAAGTCATCTGTTCTTACAGAATCAAGGCAAGCGTTGTTTTCCTCGTAACTATGTGTAACTTTAGTTTTGCTGTCGTGTATTAACTGCGAAGGCGCGATAACTATCTCAAAGGTTGCTCACAGCATATTGCGTAGCAATAGCTCTCCGTCGGCATGAGTTGGGAACATTTCGCTGCAACGGGCTCAGCTATGTCCGCCAGTGAATATCAGCTATTATGACACAGTGGAACTATAAAGGCACTTAGACAGAAAGCCGATATATTTACAGTGGTTTTTAGGCTCCGTCGGTTCGAACTTCGGAGTCCCAGTTTACCCAGAAGTATTGGAGAGGAGATCTGACCAGGCCTGGTTTCCCACCAGCTCAGTGCTAACCGATCTATGAAGTCACCGGATACTGGGACAGTGGCGCCAAGATCCCTTGTGGTCGCCATTTCGGTACATGGAACGAGCAGTTCCTTTCTGAGCTCTCAATTCTCGGTGAGACGATCCAAATTCGCCAAGCGCACATGCCGCACCTCCACCACTTGCGGCGTCAATCCTTGCCGGCAATGAAAAAGAAAATCGTATTTCTTTTCCCACAATGTGCGAAGAAACGAAAGCTATAGCAGTAGCACGGTCGCGCAATGCGGGTGGAAGGGTGCCGTCAGGTACCTGCTAGATGGAGGTGCGACATGGTTAATTCCCATAGCCGTCGTGGTTAACGTCGTGGATGCCACTGACGACTGCCACCAGTGATCCGTGAAGTAGGTAAGCACGGTGGAAGTTTCTAAAACCATCCGACATTACGCGTAGAAACTGGATACTGCGAAAGCGGAGTTAGGCATAACGCGAGTAATGTTGGAAAGCGAGTCTTTCAAGCAGACGACACGACGAATCTCCCTTCGTTGTTCAATTTTTTGGCGGGACGCCAGGGCACCAGGGCTGCCCTCTTCGCTCTCTGCGCGCGGCACCGCGCACGGGAAGTCCTGACTTCCCCCTCCTCGCGGCGAGAGGGAAGAGAACAAGGGTTTTCCCATTTTCCCCGCGCGCGCCGCGACGACAAGCGACGAGGACGAAATCTTTGCAAAGTGTCGCCCATAAAGCTATCGCTTTAATATCGCTTTAAAATGATTTCCCTGTTTTAAAATAAGAAAGAACAATATCACTGTAAGAGATCTATGGAGATAATCACGATTGGTAGGCTGATCACATACACAGTGCCAAAGACACGTATCATGGCAGGAACGCTTTTAGTACGATGACATTTGGAAGCTGAAGGGGTATTCACACGAGGGAGAAATCCCGGGGATTTCTCCACGGCACGCGCATCCCGCGACGAAAACGTCAGGCTTTGCGATGTGCAAAAGCCTCGCGTTTTCGTCTCGTGGTGCGCGCGCGCCGGGGAGAAATCCCTGGGATTTCTCCCTCGTGGATTTGAAAAGAACTGAAATGGCGATTGCCATGGCAACAGAGGCGGATAAGTCAGTCGCATTGCGAAATTTCGGTCGTCTGTAAGTTAGTACATATGCCTCTGTCCGATTAGCAGACGGGGACGGCAATAACGTTACTTTCCCATGATCCAATGATTTTACCTATACAAGGCCCATGGACTTAATTCTTTACGTCATCTACCTCGATCGAGTGCAGGGCACTGATTGGATGCGAGTGCTGCTTCAGCGCTTGGCTGGGATTCGTCTTCAATTGCTGCTTCACTGATTGTTCACGACCCCCCCCCCCCTCCCTCCCCCCCAATGCCGAAGGCTGACGCAGCGTTCATGTATACGTCAGCCGATCCGTTTGCGTCAGAAACAGAAACGAATAATTCATGTCGTTGTTGTCCTGTCCCCATGAGTTTAGTTCTCAGCTTAGCCGCTAGGGTTGCGACGGTTGAATCTCTTCCCGTATGTTATAGAGATCAAAATAACAGAGAACATGCGGGCGAGCTGTGAAGTTTCAACATCTTGAACGCCCGAGAGTTAGGAACAAAACAGTGGACAACACACACACACACACAAGTGTCTCGAGACCTGTGGGTGGGGGATCGGTGGTCGAGTGGTCTAGCGCACACCAGCTCAGAGCACGTGGAGCGAAAGCTCACGCTGCAGAACCCAGTATCCTGGGCTCAATCCCCATCCCTGCCCGTTTCGATCTGGATGAGCATCGTACCGGCGTGCGGTCGTGTATCACTACTGCGTGGTGCACGTTAAGGACACCAGGCTAGCGGTTGTACTGCACTGGCTAAATTTCTCATCTACAGCTGGGAGACTCGTCGCCCGTTGAGGCAGACCAAGTTCTAGGCTGTATAAACATACACACAACCCAATTTTTTTAGACCTGTGTGTCTGTTGTCCACTTTTCTTTTTCTCACTAAGTCTCGGGTGTTCAAGACGATTGTCCTAAGTTATGACTTTCGTGTTTGTTCTGCAGGGCTACCTGAACAGCGACGACCAGAAAGAATCGCGGGTTCTCGAAGACAGCGGTCAGTTCGAGGCTGTCCTGGAACGCGCCGCCATGTCCTGGTACGCTCGGGTCTTGCACGTCGACAAGGACGACCTCCTGGTCGCGCAGACGGGACTGAGGACCCACGTGGACGACGTGGCCAAGAGGAGCTTCCGCTCGTCCCGGAAGAACGCGTCACGGGCGTTGGACCACGAAGTTCTGGACGTCATCGGCGCCAGCATCGTGGACCACGTCCGACATATGGTGGAAGAGAAACTCGACCGCGTCATCACTAAGGTAAGTTAACTGGGAAGGTGGGCTGCCCGAACGCGTCTCTGTCTGGTGTGTGTACCGCGTTCTCAGAAGAGGTCCCTCGCTTCTCGCCTGATGACGTCATAGAAGTGTCCTGCTGTCGCCTGTCGCGATCCTGGCGGCGTCACAACAGCAAGGGTTAATCTGGCAGATGTCTGTTCTGCCGCAGGTCGCCTTCTAGCGTGACAGTTCACGGAAGCTCCGGCAGCCAGGAGTCGGGACGTCGTGACGACAGCGCTTTCCCGTGTTTTTTTTTTTTTCTACAAAACTTTTACGTTTTTCCGCCAGGATCGCGACATCCGTAAGCATGACACCCCGGTTTTTGTGACGTCATTTCTTGGCACTTCGCAAGACCACTTTTGATGCATTGGCGGAATGCCGGTAGCAACTGAGGGAGAAAAGGAAATGAGAGTGGTGCGGGGACGCCAGCGCGCGGAGTTCTGAATGGAAAGATGGTGGATAGACATAAACTATAGGTGCTTTTGTCTCTATCTCACTGTTCGAAAGCGACCACCGGACGCCGGACGCCGGCGTTTAGCTTTCGATCGAGTTTGAACAGTGAGTCGAGCTTTGCGTCTTCTCACTAATCGTTCCAACCAGAGCTAGGCGCACTGGAGTCTTCGTGCGTTCTCATCGCCTCCTCTCTCCCAGTTTCTACCCGTATAGGAAGCTAAACACACCAGTCGAAGACGCGTTCCAGGCGCCGTTACTCGTAGTATCGTAAGAAATCGTGCCATACCAGATGTCAGATTGACGTCATCTGGATGCTTCCGCTTGAACCCCTAAGTTTGACCGCCACGCGTGCTGCGGTGAAATTCAGAACCTATTACGATTCGTTTTAGTGCTCGCACTCCAGCCAAGGTTAAAAATACAAAGTCAAAGCCTTGGAAGACGCTTCCAAAGTTTTTACTTGCGCACCGAGATAACTAGGCTTGCGCGGATAATTTCTCGTGCTCACAAGTTTATATACGTTTTATCTCAGTGTAAATGTCTGATCTTCGTGAGTACAAAATAACTGCCACGTGTCCCACAGGAACCAATGGATAACATAGAGAGGTTGCACCGTCGATGCAACCTATCTAACATTTTGAATATAAGTCGCATTGACGCGATTTTGTGCTACGACCAACGTACTCTTTAGCATGCCAATTTTACGCTATTAGACTGTTACCTCAAGACATGCAGTGCAGAAGGGCGTCACATGGAAGCCTATGTATTAATGATGGCACTTGAGGCTTGTTAGGCGTCACCATATTGAAAGATGCCACGACAAACCTATGCGATCAAACGAAGATGCGATACTTTCCAGGCGGTGTCCAGCGCCCACGGCGAGATGCACGACCTGCTGGAGGCCATGGTGGCTCCGAGCCCACACTCGGAGGTCCCGCGCACCTACTCCCCGCACAGCCACCGGCTGAGCAAGCGCCAGGTGCCGTGCAACAACGGCACCGAGCTGGACGACTACGTGGACTATTTGTTCCGCTTTGCCACCAGGCTCATCCGTGCCATGGAACCCATCCAGGGACCCAACTTCACCATCTACATTGAAGAACACCTACAGGTGGGTGCTCGTTCTGCGGAAGAACGCTTCAAAGCTGCGACCTCGAGCCCTCGTGCTTGTGCCATAGGCCGCAGTCTCCGCTAGGGTGAACAGGGTGCAGCAACCGACCGAGGCGCCTCCTGTACACTGCTCTGGGGCTTTCGGTGGCGCCCTCTTATGGTTCTTAGCTATGACGTCACGACCACAGTTATTATCTGTGAACGACAAGTTCGATCGTGTGTTTAAAACTACAGCTGTAGCATTACTCTACTTTCCTTTCTTACTGCCCCTTCCCAGAACCAACTTTGTGCCATAAAAGTTCAAATTTAAACTGCGTGAGGTAGAATGAAGCACGGAAAGCACTTTACAAGACGTAGGGCTTGAGCGCGACATTATCCAAAGTCTTCCTGAATCACCTTTTGATAGAAAAAAAAATCATAATTTCGCGGCGTGAATAGGGTGCGAGCTATCGGCGACACGCCCGGCCTTGGTTTGTGGCGAATCAGCACAACACTTTCTTTATTTTCGAAAAAAGGGGGCGGGGGAGGAGAGGCGGGAAGGGACAATGAAACGAAAATAAAAGCGCCAGGGAACGGGACAGGTAAAGCGATGGGGGATCGGTGGCCGAGTGGGCTAACGCGTCTCCGCTCGGAGCCTGGAGCGAGAGCTTGCGTTGCACAACTTCCTGGACTCGATCCCCGCCCCCTGCCCGTTTCCGTCTGGATGAGTTTCGTATCGGCACGCGTTCGTGTAATCGCTACAGCGTGGTGCTCGTTAAAGACCCCAGGTTAGCCGTTGTCTCGCAATGGCTAAATTTCTCATCTGCAGCTAAGAGACAAGTCACCCGTCGAGGCGTACTAGCCTCAAGGACAAGCAACACGAGACAAACAAAGCGATTAGTGCTACTGACGTTCTCTTTAGTACCGTTAAGTTTTTAAAACATGAAATACATCCTCGCATTACCCCTAATAAAAAAAAAAACGTGTCCGTCCGTCCGCCCGTCAATGTATTTCCACGCCAAAGTGGTGTATAAATTCACCAATTTAATTCGTGTTACGCGCTACTGGCCAGGCGAAAAACGTTTTCCGTTAAACTTAGCGTAAGAAAACTTAAATGGTGTATATTGTGGGGAAAGGTGACCTTATAAAATGAGCAGCAGGCCGCTGCTAGCGTGTGTTCTCAACAGTGTTCTCGACAGTGTTCTCGAGCGCTCTGAAGCGCTCGCCCGTCAAATGATGTAACCTCCTGCTCCCTGGTCCTTCCCGAGTACGGCCTTTAGGGCTCATTCACACTGAAAGCGGATCCGCGTTCGCAAAGCGGTTGCAAACGCGGTTGTATAAGGATTCAGTACAATTGCACGCGCACACGATGACATCAAATGCGCGTGCAATTGCACTGGATCTTTATACAACCGCTTTCGCAACCGCTTCGCGAACGCGGATCCGCTTCCAGTGTGAATGGGGGGTTACATGGGTTCCTGCCCTGGCTCGGCTCCCTGCCGTCCCCAGAGTCCCCGGACAACCGCTCGGTCCCTCAAACATATAGTGAAACCGAAAAATAATCTTTGAGGTTTCCAGTTCAACCGTAAAAATTGGGCATGTGAAACATACAAGGCTGCATACAGGGTCGGATTAAGGTACGGGCTAAGGGCTAACGGGCTAACAAAAAATGTTTTATAGCGAAAATGAAACAGAAAAATATATTTTCCGATATATGTACAAAACAAAATATTTTTGAAAATATTTCCACAGCATTCGAGAAGAGAGGCATGACAAAGATAATGGCAGTGCAAGCGAATCCAAAAGACACACTGCGCGGCGAGCTTCTTTGGCCAGTGTAAAGAATGGCTCGAAAAATGTGACATGGGACCGGCACCTTATGCTACTCCTTCGCGTTCTTTTCAAAATGGCCTTGAGCAAAACAAAACGCGGAGGGGCCCTCAGCCTTCTGGAGTTTTTCATTCCTTTTTACAGAAGGAAGAGGGAAATATCGTCAATGTCTTCTTTCTCTGTCCTACTGAAGCTTGTGGCAAGTGTTATACTGCGTGCAAACACATATTTATGAAGCGCGGCCTTCGATGCTCCCTAGCGAAAAGATCGGAGTTGCCGCCTCCGCGGTAGTCTCAGTGAAGTATGCCCAAAATGAAGTAGAAAGGAGACCTGAACCTTTCTCCTTTTTTATGGTGTAATTTTTCGCCTCCGTTCCAGGAACACTAGTGGGCCTGTCTGTTTACGCTGAAAGCTTCTCGATATACTCACTGTATTCGTATTAAACCTGTGAGCATTATGGAGAACGCTTTCTCTATAACAATGAGTTCAGAATGTTCCTGACTATTACGAGCCAGAAAAGATGTCTTCGGCCTTCTAGGAAAAAAAGAAAAAGAAAAAAGAAGACACATATTAAATTACTTCTTAAAATTTACAACAAAAATAAAAATGAAGAGGAGACTGCACAAGAAACAACAAATGGACATTTCTATTTACTGGGTTTCATCTTTCTGCCTCTGAGTGGCTGATCTTGTCGAACCAGAGAGTGAAAGTAAAAGGTAGCCAACCAGGTCACTTCACTCGTATCCATCTTAGTGCTTTGGTTAGAGTCACGAAAACGGGCAATATGACAAGGCCTTGCACTTCCGGTCGCGCAGTTATTTTTCATTTTTAGTTTGAATGTCGGTCATACGCATCTGATTGGAGGAAGGGGGGGCGGGGAAGGGGGGGGGGGGAGGTTTTAAGTGGTGAACCGAGTTCAAAAAAGAAGGAAGCGAGGAACGCTGCCGCAGCTGACTAAATATGCAACGAGTTGTCACAAGACATTCAATGAGGACTGCCACCTGGGTCATAAAAAAATCCATTTGTTTATTTAGTAATTTATTTTACACTCAGGGCACAAGGCATTACAGATGGTAGTGTGAACAATAGAAATTATAATACAAAAGGAACAATATATGCAATAGTTAAACAAAAGGGAACATGAAATTGGTAAGAGAGGTGCGAACAAGTGCGTGCTCATTAATTGACGTGAGTGATGCGGGTAAGCGGTTCCAGTCTTTGGAAGTTCTGGGAATAAAAGTCATAATAAACGTTAGAGTGGCAAAATGGGGCACTGACTTCGTGGCGATGAGCAAGGTGTGCTTAAACAAGATAGGGGGGATGATTAGTTGTGATTTGAGCTGAGCTATTTGGTGATAGATTTTATGAAAAAGACAAATATGAGAAACTGCTACAATGTGCGAGGCTTGGGGGCAACGAACTATTTTTCATTGATGTTACGCTTGCGGTGCGGTTCTAATTGACCAGTATGAAGCGTGCAGATCTGTTGTGAACACTGTCAAGTGAATCAATAGACAATGACTACCGAGTGCAATCCATCGATCATGCCAGAGAGACTGGTCTAGATGATGGTCCGTCTGCTATGTCCTTCCCGCTAACTACTATGTGTGAGCGCCTGCCACGGGTCCCCTTACAATCCGCCGTCATAGCCACGGAGAATGGCAAAAAAAAAAATAGTTCAACACTTCTAACCCAAAGCGCTTACCGAAGACCGAGCGAGTCGTGACAGTCATTAGGTAACCGCGTTTTGTTAGCCTATAGACAATTGCAAGCATGGCGCCACAAGTGGTGCCCCATGCGTGCAAGCGCGTGCAACGCGCGGATGAACGTGGCTTTGGCAAGCTCGTAATCGCACGGGCGTGCCTGCTCGAGCAGCGACATGGCGGCGGCCAGTCGCCCAGCTTGCAATCGTCTATATATAGTAATCTACTTGAAGTGACCACAAAATTGGACCCTTTTTTGAGCGATGGCATTGCTCAAGGCATAATAATAAAAAAAAAAAATAATGACCGCATCTCCACGTGGTGAATGATGTTGATTGGGGCGAAGCTCTGGTGGTGCTGATGATACTAATTTTATTGCTCATAGATAGTGCTGAGTTCCGGGTTGCGTTTCGACTTCATTGTTACTGATTTATGGTCGGTGAAATGCAGAGCCAGTGGTTCTTCTGGCGGATCAGCTTGGATCCGCTAGAAGCCGTGGGAACGCATCTCCACCGCTTAAGTCAACAGTCCATGCCAGAAAGAGAATGTGTGGTATGGAACGTGGTTATATACGCATTTTGAGCATTTGACCGCAATGCATGCAAAGTTTAACGCGATTATATACGCATTTGACCGCAGCGCCCTCTCCTGTATAGACGTTCAGCGGCTACATGCAACGTTTCATCCATGACAGAAACCCCAGCTCTTGAGTTACTACCACATCTCAGAGCCCCCTACTCGTCCCGCAGTCGTGGCCGAGTGGTGAAGGCGATGGACTAGAAATCTATTGGGGTCTCCCCGCACAGGTTCGAATCCTGTCGACTTCGCAAACATTTTTTCTTTTTGTGTGAGCACGGACGCAGGACGGATAGACGGAAAAGGCTAGAGCCTAAGGAGCTTCGCCCCTAAAATATAAAAATAACTTAGACTTTCCAAAAAAGCACTGTTAGCCAGTCATATTCATCATCGTCGTTGTTGTCGTCATGGTGATTATCATCCTGATGGGCCTCAGAAGCAACCTTAGATTAGGGCCCGAAATCTCTTAATCTGGGTTTGTACCTGATGTCGTGGTGTCACGGAACGTGAAGTCACGCGGGATTTTGCTGCATGACGTCACAATATCACGTGACACTTCGACGTCGCTTCATGTCGGGCCACCCGACGTCAATTAATAAACGATATGTTCCCCACTTCCTCAAACGAGTGTTTAATGTCTTCGAAACAAATTGAACGATAGCTGATGAAAGTGATATATATATATACTGCCAATTTTCTCTATTTACGAGTCTTCCCGCTTCAACATTTCCACGCAGGTTTTCCTGTACGACGTACAGGCGCGGAACGTCTACACGCTTTCTCGGCGCAAGCCCGCCTACGTCATTTGCCATCACGGCGACGTCACCGTGGGTCTGGTCATCAACATCGACAACATCCTGGCCACAGCCAAGTACCGCGTCATCACCGACCACACCCACCTGCTCTTCAACGGCGACGCAGACATCAAACTCTCCGGCACCGTGGTCTGGATTCAGATCAGTCAGTTGGCCAACGGCAACAACAGGCTCGACGTGGTGCGCATCTGGAGGATGGGCAAGGCCCAGGTCTTACTCAAAGGCCTGGGCAATTACACCGCTGCCTTGTCCATGTTATTAACCACTATACTAAATCATGACCCGTGGAACGTCATTCCTGTGGCCGAGGCGCAGGCCATCACGTTTGGCAGGGAGATGCTGGCCAACATCACCGTTCCAATCTTTTCTTTGGTTTGAGGTCTGTCGTCCTCAAGGTCACCAGATAAGACTCATCGAGGCAGCTCGTTCCGCGGATTTTCTCGAGTCTCAAAGAGACAGCGTTCATGACTTTCCTCATCAAGACTCATCTATAAGACAGCCCTCAAAGCCAGTGGTGTTACTAGGGTCAGCGGCACCCGGGGCGGTGGCCTGCCGAGACACCCCCCTCCCCCTCTCTCGCGTGCCCCGTTGCGACTCCCCCTCCCCCCCCCCCCCCCCCCCGCCCACCACCTGCTCTCGCGTGGCCCGCAGTGAGCCCCCCCCCCCCCCCACCTCCTCTCGTCGCCCGCCGCGACACACCCCTGAGTGCTGCACCCGTGGCGGCCCGCCCCCCCTTCCCCCCTCCCCGCACCCTACTTGTGACGCCACTGCTCGAAGCACATGGAGCCTTAAGACCTTCAAAGCTGTTGTCAGTGCTGTTGACAGGCTTTGGTCAAGGGCACCATAAAGGCTCACCAGGGTAATCCCAAGATGGCTTTCGGAGCTTCGTGTTATGTGAATGGACTGGCAGCTCACGCGTAGTGTACCCTCAAGACTTTACCCAAGACGTTCGTTCTCAGGGTTTGTGTAAGGCCCATGACGATATATAGCACCAATAACAATTACAATTAACTGCTTTACTCTGATGGTTGTCCTGGGGACGGTCACTGACAACCATTGAGACAGTATTTTTTTAAGGTTGGCGCGGGCGGCTGCGGTGATGTTTAGGCAGTCCCCAGGTTATTTAAATCTTTCATAAGTCGGAGGACGCCGGAAAATAACCTTTTCACAATTGATTTGTAGCAAAATGTGGAGACACTTACCAAACCGGTCATCAGCGTGTGCGGATATCAGGATACAGGCAAAGGAAGGTCTATTCGAGATTATACGTGATCGTGGATGCTGTTTAAATTTTCTTAAGGACATTCACATTTTTATGTTAATGTCCTTAAGAAGAAAAAAAACTGTTTGGCAAGATGTGAACTTGGTGGGCGTTTTTATTTTCTCTTGGAGTACATGTTCACACATCAGGCATTGATCAAAACTCGGGAGGACACGCGCGAGGCGGCTATTTTTTCCTCCCCGAAAGTGTGACCTTGTGACTTATGAGCCATGCTGTGACAGCTGCCACGCCGTGGAGTGATGCTCTCAAAGACATGAAAGGACATTATCCAGCTGGAAGAGTGCCCCTGTGACATTTCCCTCTTGTTTTTCTAATTTCAATTTTGAGTCCACAATTAAGCAGTGTTTTTCCCCCTAATCAGGATAATTGCTATTAATGCAGTGATTAACTGACTCGCGGTGTGGCGTACGTCGACGATTCGTTTTGTACGAGGCTTGCATTGACGTCACACAAGCAGCCATTGTGATGGGCCTTACTGCGGAGCGCGTTCCTTCTGCAACAGACATTTTGGAACACCCAATATTTTTTTTCTTGCCAAGAACCAAATGAGAATGGCCATGTATCATCGCAGTATAATGACGTCACTTGCAAGCCACACGTGCGGTTCGTCGAGAAAGCCAGTTTATCTTTTTACCTTGTGTCTGTATATTGCTAACCGGACGTTGAACGTATATGTCGGACATTAGTTGATCTCTACATATGCTCCTTATAGCTGAATTTAGAGTATTTAGAACGCCGTTATTTCAGCGTTGCGAGGCTATGAAGACATGATTCATGGCATTAGCGTTCCGCGACTGCCGAATCATGACGAATGCTAAAATGCCTTCAGAGTCATTGTTTGTTAGTCTGGTGACAGAGAGCCAGAACATAACCTACGCTTCGATGTAACGACAGCCATCTTGTTGCTTAAAGTCATTGTTGACACTTATCTGAAGCCTTATCTGAAATCGCATGAAACACTTTTCCGTCCTCCAGAAAGTTTAAAACAATCCGGGACATAAAAAAAAAGAACGGTATCGCCTAAGCTCTTTGACATGGTATGTAGAGCTCAGGAACACCAAAATGGCGGAGCACCCACCAGGTAATCGGAGAATGTGGAGTGGCGATAACTTATTTAATGTTTCTAAAATAGTAGCGCCCGCCACGTTCAAACGTGAAAGAGCACAGCCGTCCATCCAACAACAACCACCCCGAGGGAAAAAGCGCGATACGGCAATGGCTTACGGGACTTTCAAAAATAACTCTCCAGGCGTGCGACACAACCCGATCTCTTCCTCGATGCCCAGATTCAGATAAGCGTATACGCATCTCTGCTCCGTTACGCGTCGTCTGCTTCCAAAGACCGAAGCAGACGACACCGGGTCGCGGGTCTCTTCCTCGTGCGAACTTTTCGAATCATTACTCCAGAGACCGATTAATCGAGCCAGCAACAATCGTTCGTTGTTAAGTGAAGGGTATATTTGCTAATCTCTATTTGGTAAGTGGTCTACTATGTGGAGATGAGCGGATGAGAAGAGGTGTTTTGTCCATGGTGTGCGTGATGAACACGCACGCGCTCGACCAATATCCCCTAGAAGACGAGGCTTCGCCTTGGCCCTTACACATCATCGCTAGTGGACAACGCAGCGTCGCCACCAGCGTGTCTTGCAGCGTCTCACATGGAAAGCAACGCTATGGTACCTGGAGCGCGTCTCCGACTGGTGTGTTTAGCGTCCCCTGCAGCCCGTGCATCGAAAGTGGTCCCAAAGTGGCAACAAATGACGTCATAGAAGCCGGAGTGGCAATGCTGCCGGATGTCTCGCGATCCTGTCGGTTGGTCGTAGAATGCAGTCGAAGAAAAGCACGAGCGAACGAGAGTGTCGCTGTCGTCACGGCGTCCCAACTCCCGGCTGCCGAAGCCTCCGTGGACTGTCACACTGGAGAGCGACCCGCAGCTAAGGTGAACCGCAGCGAAACTTGGCGTCTCTGCAGCGTCCACCACCGCTGCTGGGACACGCCGCCAGGATCGCGACCGGCGACGGCACGACACTCCTGTGACGTCACGAGGCGGAAATCGGGGGTCCACTACTAATGACGTCACGAGCCGGCCTCGTCTTCTCAGCGGTTTTGGTTCGACGCACTGCAGCGCGTTTCAGCTTTCCGCTCCAGATGCACGTAATGACGCTTGTATACTCAGCGTCGGCAAAACGAATTGCGTGGCGTGATCTTTTTTTGTCCGTGTGTGCTAAAGAGTGGAGTGCGCGAAAGAGCAATAAAAGAAGCCGAACAAGCGTAAACTCGTTCTTTTTGTTATATAATCGGATACAAAATAAGAATGCACCAAGTAAATCCCACCACTTACAACCCGCAGCATCGAATCGCTCCGCGGACCAACCAGGAAAGGCTGTGGCCGCCACGACGAGTTATGACGTCAGCGCGGCGCTTTCATGGACTATTTGCGCATCGCGGAGTAACACTGGTTGGCGGTAATCAGGGTGTGGGAGGAGCTTCTGGAGCATTCTTAACTTGTATATATGACAATACTATAGCTGAAATTGTGTTTCCTTCTCCGGCACTTGTTAATTTTTTTCCCCAAATTGTTTCGTGCACAACTTTTTATAAAAAAAAAACGAATGTACGTTAAGTTGAGTAATGTGGACTTATTACAGGAGGTATGTCGATCATACTTAAAAAACCCCGAGACAAGCACAAAAAAAAGGACAACACAACGACGAAAAGATTTCTTTGGGTTGTCCCTTAACTCCTCCCCTCCCCCCCCCCCCCCCCCCCCCCCCCCCACACACACACACACACACCCTTTTTTTTTCTTTCTTTCGGGGTTTTATAACTGAGCGTTTGCCAGCTACTCTGCTTACCGAATGAGGTGGTAAGTTGTTGTTTACTTTCTCGAAAACGAAGTTACGCCTTCTTGAGGCCGGAGTGTCCCCCATCAAGATAACAATACATTCCGAATTTGCAATGGCTAGAAGTGCCAGGAATGGTTGACGTGCCACAAGGTTGTCACAGACGATTTCTCGATTTTTAATATTTCGAAAGAGTTTGTAAAGTAAAACAGGTCCCGAAAATAATGTATACTATGTGAGAACATGCATGAAACCAGTAATTTAATAAAGCAACTAAAATATTAATTATAAAAACATAAACGAAATACGCTATATAAATTTTTTTGAGAAATGTTTTCTTATTTGTTATTTAATTACTCCTTCGTGTGATATACTTCGCGCCCAAATGGCCGCAAAAAGAATTTTTGCGTATCAAGAGATAACGTATCTAATTGTACAGACCAGGACAGAACTAGCACAAACGCGTTAGCGGCTTTTTTTATTGTTTGTTTGTTTGTTTTCTCCAGCAACTTTTATATTTATACTGTTCTGTCTCAAACCATTCCTAATAGTGTGTAGAGTAGGGCAATGCACTCAAGTTGGAGATGAACATAGGCGGTCTATGATTTATACGAAAGGCGCAGGCGTGGTGCTGCTTTGTTGACGCCACTGGGAAGGATCGCAACCTTAAATACATTTTAATAATCTTAATCATATGGATTTAATCAAGAGACACGCAATGCCATGGTACCACGCGAAAGACGACTTGACGACGTCACGCCACATGACGTCGGATCACATGACGTTAATTTTCCCGCAAATCTTTGCTAGGAAATCAATATCACGTGACCTGATGTCAGGTCATGTGTCACCGTTACGTCAAGTCCTGGTGTCATGTGTTACCTTGATGTCACGTTACGTCGGATCACGTGACGTCAATTTGCCTGTCAAATCTACAAGCGGGGAAGCTAATAAATTATTTCTTTTTATGAAACCTTAGCTTTAAAGGGCTTTGTGTAAAACAAAAGAAAACAAAAACAAGGAAACATCGAAAACCAAATCTTGGGTTCACAACTATGCTCAAGTTACACCAGTAAGCCTCGACCCTCACCGTTGCTTCTGAAAAGAATGGTTTGCGTTCAGTTTAGTACGCCAAAAAAGCCATTTCGACGCTTAACCAAACGACAAAATGTAAAAGAAAAAATAAAAAAAAATAAAAAAGACGTCTTGGCCGTAATTCTAAATTTAGCAACTTAAACAAAAAAAAAAAAACGTACACAGACAAACGCATCAAATGCTTGGCTCTTTGAGGAAATGAAGAACAGCAATTGCCGAGATAAGAGAATGCGGTGCTGAAGGAATATTTTTGTTTATCTGTTTTATTTTCGGCGTGGCAACCATTTTGAGGAAGTCCGAAACGATGCGGAAAATAGCCTTATCGGCATTCTCCAAATAATATTCTTTTTTTTTTTTCTGCCCGTTTTCGTCATACCGTGTGATTACGTATGCTGAAAAAAATGGGCTACCAAAATGGCTCTGGCAGGAAAAAAAAAAAAAAGTCGGAAAAGTTTTGTTATAGAAATTGTACGAAACTGAGCTTTAGACATTCGTTTGTTGTTGCGGATGTTGCGAACATGCCTATTGTGATCAAAGTTTCCCTCGAGATTACGTTACTTTGATAAGTACTTTTTATATATATATAAGAAAAAGTTGCAAGAGATTTTTTCGTACATCGTTGCTGATTTCAAACACACAAAAGTATTCTGTGAATTTAATTTTAAAATATAAGTCAATCATTTGCAAATATGACCGGTTAAATATGTTATCGTTTACGAAACATTTATTTTACCATGTTTATGGTACATTTTTAATCTGTGTTTAAAAAGATGTGTTTTTCCTGTCAAGGCGCAGAAAGTTGAAGTAACCGTTTTGCACAAGGGTAATAAAAACAGTGATGGAAGCGGCATTTGACTTTTTGTAGCAGGCATAATGTTGGTTTAGAGCAGCCATATTGACCCTTTCGGAGCAGAGCCCGAATGTGTTAGCACATCACTTGAAACTTAAACGGTGATTGCGTCACTAAAGGAGACAAACTTTGATAACAAGTTAGTGGTCATATTGCAATATTGAAGTATATAACTTATTACCTTTTGTAATTACATGACATAGTATAAATACTCATAAAAACGTACATGACACACAACTGTTTTTGTGAAATAAGACTGGGGGAAGTTCGTTTCGTTTATACTTAGGATTACGAAAAAAAAACCCAAAAAAAAACTAGCACATCCGTTGAAGCGTCGACCAATGAAAAATATGTTCCACCAAGATTTAAGAGCCTACAAAACTCGAACATCGAATATCATATACTGCAACCCCCCCCCCCCCCCCCCCCCCCCCCCCCCCGATATTAAGCTATTAACAAAAATTAAAGTTAGTTCGTAGCCTTTTCGATCGACTGTTGCGCGGGAACTTCCTTGACTCTTCGGTCAAATATAGTTCCGCCTTTTTATTTTGTTACACTGAGCATAATTTCCGAGCCGACCGCGCTCATCCATAAGTGATCCCCCGCGAAAGCCACTACTCCTAACACACCGGTGCAACGCGGTGAAGCTCCACGCGCACGCGCCAGTACGAGGTGGTAAAGGGCGACACCCAGCGGCGATGGTGCCACGGCGTGGAGGCATACGGCTGGGATGCAAATCAACCTATCTCATCAGGAGTATAAGACCCGGCCTGGTTCTGTCTCACCACAGCAATTAACTGCCATATCACCGTCTTATATATTATTATTTGTTTTTATTTCTCGCGACTTTTAGCTTTATGACGTGACATCGCCAACATTATCATCTGGAAGTTCAGACTATGAAGTGGCCAGCGAGGTAGACGAGCGAATGGTACCTATGGTAAGTAGAGACGCCGCGAAATATATGTTCTTTGCCATTTTTTTTTTTTTTTTTTTCCTGATGGAAGCGGCATTTGATTTTTTGTAGCAGGTTCTGTAACAGGCAAGATACTAGTTTGGAACAGCCGCCGACGCTTTTGGAGAGGAAGCCAAAATCTGTTAGCACATCACTCGAAAATGAAAAAGTGATAGCATCGCAAAGTCCATCTATGATAGGGTACGAGAGGAACACAGAACCTTATTTTTTTTTTTTTTTTTTTTTTAGAAATAAGGCTTTAGTCAGAGTAGGTTCCATTTGAAATGGGTACTCAAAAAATTGTTGCAACATGAATGATATGGCGAACCACTTCAGCTGGTATAAAGCCTCGGTCCCCTCTTATTTTTACACCAGACAGTTTACTTAGCCGGCAAATATAATTTCTGTAAAAAAAACTGCGAAAACCAACATATCAGCTAAAGTATGTCTATCAATAAAAATGCGCGCCCCCCCCCCTCAAACCAGCATATCAGCTAAAATATGTATATCAATCAAAATGCGCACCCCGCCCTTCCGCGCAGTTGGCGGGCAGTATCTAAACCTTTTTTTCCACCTTAATTCGAAGCGCAGCCGACGCTGCGAGTCAATGAGACCAACCAAACGGCGTCAAAGCGCGACATCATGGCATTCGTCTATCTTCCTGTGCGTGTTCTTTCATCGACTAAAGCGATCAAGTACAACGAATGGCCCGTGACTTATGCTTTTACTATGCGTGTTCGTAGTTGCACGTAGCCAGGATTTTGTCTCGAAAAGGGGCCCGCCAATAAAAAAAAAAAAAATGCTGTATGAGGGAGAGGGGGGAGAGGAGGTCCCAGCAAAAAGAAAAAAATGGGGGGGGGGGGGGGGGGGGGGGGGGGGGGGGGGGGGGGCCTGGCTACGTGCCTGTGTTAGAGTCTTCGACTGTGCTCTGACCCAAGTAAAATGAAACAGAGTATACGGTGAGTAGGGACGCTGTGAAATATTCAGGGTGTTTCACGCAAGTTGGACAAATTCGATATTGCGAAAACTACGCGTCGCAACAAAAAAAAAGGACTTGTGTCGTTTTGGTCCTGGGTCAGGGTCCAATTTAGGAAAATTATACAAGTCCGGATAATTGGATTGTTGATTATTTTTTGCGTAATTAACTTCTTTAATATTGTGTTTCTCCATGGGGCACGGTGCCGTCGGGGCCGAGATGCGCTCCGATAGCAAACCGAAACTTGAAACCCGTCGAATTTGTGCGGTTTTTCAGAAAGCAGTAAAATGCTTCGCGTGCCTTCTATCGTTCTGCAATTTGTTGATTTAGTGTTTTTCGATGATGCTGAGCAATTTTATAATTGAAACAACACAATATTAAAAAGGTTACATTACGCAAAGATAATTAACAACTTAATTATCCCGGACTTTAATAATTTTCCTAAATAGGCCCCCCTGGCGCAAAACTAAAACAACACAACCCTTTTTTTTTGCGACGCATAGTTTTCGCAATGTCGAATTTTGTCCACCTTTCGTGAAACACTCTTTATATATTTGTACCATTTCCCTTTCTTTCTACTTATCAATAGCAAAGTCGGTTAATAATAAATATTTT